TCTCACCTTCAGCTCTCCCTAGGGAAGGATTTGCACCAATCACCTCCTAACCAACCCCAAAAGGTCCTTCTGCTCAGCACCCACCAGCCAAGACACAGCTCTGCTCACCCACTGCTCAGCAGAGCACATGGCTCCTTTTAACCTGTCCCTGGGTGGGATCTGCCAGGGTAACTAGGGCTGTGAACCACCTCCAGCTGAGCTGCTCCTCTTACACTGACTCTGCAGTCCCTGGAGACCTAATCCAGAGCCTCGATTTATCCAACTGCTGCAGGAATGTGCTGTGGATGATGCATCAGCCACGTGGAGTTCATTACATGTCTGGTGAGAGGAATGTCATAGGATCCCAGGCTGGTTAGGGTTGGAAAGGGAATTAAAGCTCACCCAGTTCCACCCTCCATGGGCAGGGACACCTCCCACCAGCCCAGGTGGCTCCAAGCCCCATCCAACCTGGCCTGGAACATTCCTAGGGATAGAGCAGCCACAGCTGCTCTGGGAAACCTGTGCCAGTGCCTCAGCACCCTCACAGCCAGGAATTCCTTCCCAATACCCAATCTCTCCCTGCCCTCTGGCAGCGGGAAGCCATTCCCTGTGTCCTGTCCCTCCAGGCCCTTGTCCCAAGTCCCTCTGCAGCTTTCTTGGAGCCCCTTGAGGCACTGGAAGGGGCTCTGAGAGCTCAGTGTTTTGCTTGAATCCCTTAGAGCTCATCCCATGTGTCCCAAGCTGGACACTGATTTCCCAACAGGGAGAGCTGACATCCAGACTGACCTCCCTGTGCTCCCCAGGCCACACTTCCCTGCAACCATCTTCCAATCCGTGGTCATGTTCCCTCCTCAGCATCCTCACACTTGACTGAGCCTGGAAATGTGTTTTCCATTAGCTTCCAATCTCAGAGGTTTCAGCCCAATTCCCACAGTGAATGAAGTGCCTCAGAGTGAGGAGAGCCACTGGACAGATCTTTCTGCCTCTTCACTCCCTGGGGAAAGGCAATTTTGCCCTTTGATGGCCACAGCGAAGTGCTAAACGTACCCAGAATCCAAATCCCTGAAGCTGAGGGTGACGTGAGGCTGCAGCAGCACCAGGCTGAATTCCTGTTAAACCAGAAACTGATTCCAAGGGGATGTTTGGATTCACACCTCCAGATTGGGATTCCTTGTGGGATATGCTTAGTGGTGGCCTGGGCAGTGTTGGGGAATGGCTGGATTTGATTATCTCAAAGGGCTTTTCCAACCTCAATGATTCCACATTTGTTTGGTTCTATGGTCTGGGATCACCAGGACCATGGTTCTCCTTTGATCAAGGTTGGAGGAGACCTCTAAGATCAAGTCCAGCCATGTGGTCCACCAGCACCAAAGAAGCACAACTGCTTGTCCCTGAGGACTGGAGGCATCAGACAAGGGCTATGGTGGCCCAGGAGGGCAGAGGGTGACATGAGGACTCAGCTCTGCCCACATCTGCCTTTCCCAGCATCAGTCAGGAAGGGACCACAGGAGGTCATCTGGTCCTACCTCTCTGCTCCAGCAGGGCCAGACTAGAGCACATGGTTTGCATTCAGATGGTTCTGGGATATTTCCAGTGAGGAGAATCCATGACCTCTCTGGGCAACCTGTTGAGTTCTCAGTGACTGCACAAGAAAGAAGTTCATGGAGCTCCAGGAGCTCCATGTCCCTCTGGTCCTGAGGAGCCCAGAGCTGGACCCAATACTCCAGTTGTGACCTCACCAGGCCAAGTAGAGGTTCAGGATCACCTCCCTGACCTGCTGGCAATGCTCTTCCTAATGCATCCCAGGATTCCATTGGCCTTCCTGGCCACAAGGGCACACTGTTCACTCATGGACACCTTGTTGTCCACCAGGACCCCCAGGTCCTTCTTTGCAGAGCTGCTCTCCAGCAGGTCAGTGCCCAAACTGTACTGGTGCTCTTGCAGTCTCCTTGTTGTCGGACCCCCAGGTCCTTCTTTGCAGAGCTGCTCTCCAGCAGGTCAGTGCCCAAACTGTACTGGTGCTCTTGCAGTCTCTCCTCTACCAGTTTCTCTCTCTCCACGAGACTTACAGCAGGTTCAAGGACTTTGCTGCCTCCACTCCTCCAGCTGAAGTTCACTCTTCCAATGGGTTCAAGAGTTACTGAAGTGGAGAGTGAGTCACCGCTGTGGACAACACAGCTACAAACACTATGCAAAGCTGCTAAAAGTCCAGGTTAGCACCACCTTGCAGTCTCTCCTCTACCAGTTTCTCTCTCTCCACGAGACTTACAGCAGGTTCAAGGACTTTGCTGCCTCCACTCCTCCAGCTGAAGTTCACTCTTCCAATGGGTTCAAGAGTTACTGAAGTGGAGAGTGAGTCACCGCTGTGGACAACACAGCTACAAACACTATGCAAAGCTGCTAAAAGTCCAGGTTAGCACCACATGATCCTCATATCTATACACAGATAGTTTCACACTTGGAAACCTCTTCTGTTGCCTGATGAGGGTCAAAGTGCCCATGATGGTGTGGCCCAGCATGACTGGGGCCTCAGTGTCTATCCATGCCTTCACCTCATGGATGCACATCACAGAATCCCAGAATCACTGAGGCTGGAAAAGACCTGCAGGACCATCGAGTCCAACCTGTGAATCATCACCACCGTGTCAAGTAGACCAGAGCACTGAGTGCCACCTCCAGTCTTTCCTTGGATATCTCCAGGGATCCATAAGATGTGGTAAAGGGCTTGTTCCTCCCAACCAGGACTGATCCCTAAGCATCCAGAAGCCACTTGTAGCCCATCCTCACCTTGTGAGTTCTGGCAGCCAGGAGATGCATCTCAGGTGAGATCTGGGGTGAACAGCTCCTTCCTGACAAGCCAAGCCCTCCTAGCCCTGCTCCCATCACAGCTCCGAGTGTCACCTTACCTCCTGAAGCTCCTCTCCATGGATTGCTGGTTGGATTTCCCTGGAGAGATGTCCAGGCCCTGCTGGTGGCTGGAGAGGAGGCTGTCTGTCTCCAAGGGGCATCTGCCATCCCCCTCTGAGTGCACACTGGGAGTCTCCAGGAACTCCTTGTCACTCCATGTGCCTACTGTCCCGTCCAGAGCCTGATACCGGATCTCAATGGAGATGCTGGTCTGCAAGACATGAGGGAGACACAGTCAGCTTCCATGGGGAAAAATCCCAGAATCACTGAGGTTCGAAAAGCCCTCCGAGATCAAGTCCAACCTGTGACCCTTCACCACCTTGTCAGCTGGACCAGAGCATTGAGTGCCATGTCCAGTCATTCCTTGGACAGCTCCAGAGATGGTGACTCCACCCCCTCCCTGGACAGCCCCTTCCAATGCCTGACAGCCCTTTCCATGGAGGAATTCCTTCTGATGTCCAACCTGAACCTCCCCTGGCACAGCTTGAGGCTGTTTCCGCTTGTCCTGTCCCTTGTTCCCTGGGAGCAGAGCCTGACCTCACCTGGCTGCACCTCCTGTCAGGGAGCTGGAGAGAGCAGAAGTTTCCCCTGAGCCTCCTTTTCTCCAGGCTGAGCCTCCACAGCTCCCTCAGCTGATCCATGTGGCTTTGTGTTCTTGAATGCAATAAGTCTATTATTGTAGTTTCTAGGATAATTTTCCTTTGCAGTGAGAGGCCCAGAACTGGATACAGCACTTGAGGTGTGACCTCACCAGTGCCAAGTCCAGAGGGACATTCACTTCTCTACAAGGAAAATCCTGCCAAATCCCAAAGGCAGGAAGAGCTGTTGCACCATGTGGATGGATGTCTGAGCCTTGCTAACCCCAAAGTCTCTTCTTCCCTCATGCCTGAGGCTGTTGGAGAGCAGGTCTTTGGCTGAGGGAGTGGTTGGACCCAGCTCTGGTGTGGTGGTGCTGAGAGACCTGATTGACCTGGAGCTGCTGGTGCATCCCAGAGCAGCTACATCAGACATGAAATGCCCCAAGCAGTCAACAAACACTTCAAGCAGCTGAAGGTACCATGAGAAGATGAAGCCTTGTCATGTTGATGGGTTTTGTTCTGTGGTCCACACCTGGTTAGGAATTTGTGCCCTGGGATGGGCTGCCAAACCCATGGATGTGTGGGGCCTTGGTCCTCCCTGATCCCATTCCTGGGCAGGGAAGGTTTTGCAGCAATGAGCATCCCTAGGGAGGTTTGTCTCTGTCCTGGTTTGGGAAGGATCTCCCAGCCTGGTCATAACTATCCCAAGTGGGGCTTGGGGGCAGGAAGGACACTGGGTCTGTCCAAGCATGGTCTCAAGCCTCCTCTGGATCATAGAATCACAGACTGGTTTGGGTTGGAAGAGACCTCAAAGCTCATCCCATTCCACCCCTTGCCATGGGCAGGGACACATTCCACCAGCCCAGGTTGCTCTAAGCCCTGACCAATCTGCCCTGGAACACTCCCAGGGATGGAGCAGCCACAGCTGCTCTGGGCAACCTGTGCCAGTGCCTCTCCAATATCTATCCCAAACCTACTTGGATGAACCAAACAAGAGTAAGTTCCTGTCCCTGCTCCACGTGGCCTTTCC